GGGGGTTTAAAAAAGGAAAAAAAAAAAAAAAAAAAAAAAGAATCCCAAATAGCTATTCATGAATTGATTTTAGAAAAGTGAAATATAATTTCTTTTAAATACAAAATTGAGATAACATTGATTCTGCTGGACTTAGGAAAAAAACAAATTCTGAAAATACAAAATTCCAGAAATGGGTATTGCAAATCAGTTCTTGAAATGGGTGTTTATAAAAGTTGTGTATGTACTAAAGTAATAACCTACCTTCATCTGAGGATGGGATGCCCCTTGGCACCCCATGGTGGGCAGGGGCATCTGGTTTCCAGTCGTCCTAGGAACCTGGGCCAGATGGTGACTCCCCTCCTGCCTTGCCGCGAGAGCCTTGCTGTTTCTTCTCCCTATGCACCGTCTTGTTTTTAAAGAAATGAGTTAATAGAAAGTGTATTACAGGTCATGGTTTGGCATTCACAGGGATTGGGTCATATTGCTAAAAAGGATACCAGTGGTATAACTTTGATTTTTAAAGTAATTTGTCTGCATTACACATTTTGAAGTGCTGTGCTTCTGTGCAGGATACATTGAATTCTAAAGATAGGGTTTTTCAGTGGCTCACTATCTTCAGTGAAACCAATAGCCATTGAATGGTGTATTTTGGGAAAAGACATACTGAGGGTGCTTAAAGCTTTTTTACCCAGAATATCACTAGCAGAAGTTACCAGTTATCATAGACTGTTTAAAATAGTAGAAGGAATACAGTTACCTTCAGTTTTAAGATTTCTTCTATTTAACTGTTAACATGTTTAGGAGGCTGGGTTTTCAAATGTCTTTATTTTATTTACTGTTTATACTTTATTATGAAATATTCCCAATAGAGAGTAGAGACTCATACCCAGTATCTGTCTGGCCATTGTATTAGGTCAAAACGTGATCCATATTTGATCCACTGTCCTTTCTTCTTGTAACAAATACAATGCTGTGAGCTGGCCACCATCCTCCTGACCTGTGTGCCTGGGCCCACCTCTCCTCCTCGGGGTGGGCACAATTCACTGTCATGAAGTTAGAGTTCATTTTTCTTAAACGGTGTACATTTAAGTATTCACATGCATTACGTTATTTCATAGGTTTGTAAAACTTACATAAATTTTGTTGTACCATCTTTTCTAAACAGTGTAGCCACAAGCAGTATGTGGAATTAGCAGATCTTGAGCAGAAGTGGAAAAATCTGTGCCTGCCAGTAGAAAAATTCAGAGCTCTCTTACAACTGGATCCTTGCGAAAATAAAATGGAGTGGATAAAATTTTTAGCGCTTGGA